TTAGCTGGCTGGTGCGACTTATAGTCCAGAAAATACGGTACTTCCTACAGTCAGAATACATCAGTACTGTTAGCTTATTTTGCTAATACACTTAATACATTACATTACACATTAGCTTTTATTCTTGTAGAATGTAACTGTTGTTAAGCCTGGTGTTATTTTGGTTGGGTTCCACACGGACATGATGAACTAACGTTTTTGTTCCACACCCACATGAAGCCTCTCAGTCTTTGTTCTGTCTGCACTGGTCTCCAAATGAGTGTTTTCTTTTTTTTCTTTTTCTTCTCTCATACTCCCCGGTGAGTTGAGCTGAAATGAAGTGCACGCGGCCATAATGCACAGTATTGATATCTGGACATGTCAAAACACAACAAATTACAGTCCTGCCGTCGGGGTGAGCGACTCCCTAAGATTTGATCCATACATCATCCGCCCTCGGCACTCATCAAGCTGTCTCACTCAGCCGAGCATTAATGCGTTCTGTTGATATCAGCATTTTAGACGCCATTAAGAGCACGCCGGAGTGGACGGCATCGGCAGAAAAAAGGGAGCAAAAAGAGAGGAAGAGGAAGTTACAGACCTTTACCTGAGTCCTTCGTGATTCGACGGAGGGAGAGTTTTGCATTAAGGGATGGAATCAGTTCTCTCTCTCCTCTTTTAAGGACATAAGGTTAATGGGGGTACTCACTGTTTGGAAACTGCTGCTGCTTAAAACACATCCTGAGGATGATAAACACTAAAATCCTGCATGAACGTGCAGAACATAAAGTGCAGCCCAGCACAGAGCGGGTTCTTTACAACAGACTTGGTTTGAAGTGGAACACACACAAGAAGGTGATCAGAGTTACTGCTGATGGAACTGTTAGACGGTAAATGAATCAGTACCAGAGACATGTGACAGTAACAGGGACAGAGTTTAAACAGTGTATGATTTATGGAGTAAATATAGGAAAAACATGGACAGTCAAATAATACAAAATATATATATTCACAATTACAAGTGTAATTAGCAGCAAGTGCTAATGAAAAGTTCCTCAAATGTTTTAAGATAAAATGTTTAATCTAATGGAATTGAATATTTTAATAAATTAGAAAAAAGCCAAAAAAGAACAAAATCTTGTATAAAATTAATGTGATCATAAATACTATATTTACCAGAATATTGCACCATAAACAATAATGTTAAATTGTATTATTTTATTTAAATTCTGAATTGATTTTAAATTAATTCACAGATTAAATTAAAATATCCCAATAATACTACACAGTCAATTCAATTTATTACAAAAATATTAAAACAAATATCGGTTTATTATGACAAATATTTTACTCTCCATACCTGCCTCATTGAAGTATTTCATAGTATAGAAGACAATGGGACAGATGTGAAGACGGTAACTCATGTCTTTGAAATCTTGTTGTTGTTGTTGTTGTTGTTCTTAATCCAAGACAAAATAAAGTTCCTGTGACTGTAAATGTTCCNNTGCAGACGTCAGTTCATCCATTAGGGCTCACGGGGTCAATATCCTTCACGTGCATAGATGCAAAATGTGCAAACTGAGATTGGACAGCAGTTTGTGTGAGGGTGTGTGTGTGTGTGTGTGTAAAATAATTTAATGATGCAGCACACACAGACTGGCCCACACACTCACACACACTCACACACACAGGGACTGAGACAGTGGATCACAGACATGTTTACAGACAGACAGACAGAGATGGATGAATAAATGATGTGTGTGATCTATAATGAATGCCTCTCGTTCATTCCACATTCTCACATTCAACAGGTCAGTGTGTGTCCACAGGCCACAGCTCCGTCCTGCCGTCTGGACCAAATGTGTCTGACTCTAACGAGACGCTGACTCATTATTGGTAAACAAAACCCCTGTGTGTAAAACCACGGAACCACTGGCACGGAGTTCTGACCGAAATTAAAATGAAAAAAAAAATTAATAAAAATTAGTAAATCCCCAAACTGAATTTAAATTAAAAAAAAAAATCAACAAATGACACCTGAAAATATTAATATATAAAAACTTGAATTTTTAAAACATATTTTAATTGTCAATAGAAATAGCTGGTTAATTTAGCTTGGCTTAAATATAATTAAGATTGTGTAAACTGTAGCAGGAAATTTAAAAAAAGAAACGGCTTAGCTTTGAAAATGAGAAACAATATCATCATTTCAAAAAATTCTGGAGACGTTGCTAATTAGAATAAATTTGGCCATGACACAAAATGTGTAAAATTCAAAAGATTTAAAAAACAATGACACTAAAAAAACACAAAAACACCAAAAAAAATATAAAATAACAAATTAACTTCATTTTCCCAAAATGAATGTAGCCAATAAATATAAATATAACCAAAACATTGAAGTCTGTGAACTAAGACGAAAGACTGACATTTGTGTCATTTATTTTTATTTTTTCAATTCTGCTTTTATCATCGACTGTTATTACGACTCAACAAAAGCTTGAAAATTAAACCGGAGCAAAGACGAAGCACAAAGATCAGAGCGAGGATTATGGAAGAGGAAAGAGGAGGAGGGCGGAGGGCGAGAAGGTGGCGACGAAGGAGGAGATGGAGGGATCATAGAGCGCCCCCTGAGGGTGTGTGGGGGGGAGAGGATGGTGGAAGAGGAAGGATAACCAGGGTTGAGTGGGGTCATGCTGACTTTGTCCTGTTTTATGGAAGCTGTCATATAACTCCCGTGTCTTCCTTTGGAGCCCACTCCTCACTTTATCCTGCAGGCACAACAGATTGTACGACGGACAACGATTGGGTTTCTGTGAGGCCCAGTTAGAGGGGGTCTTTACGTCATCTCTGTGTTAGCATTAAATCACAAAAAAAGAAATTAATAAAGAATTAATGATTTGTCCATTAGGTGCTCAAGGTTTACAAGGGTAGTTGTTAATAAATGAGCCCAAATTAACTGAAGTAGAGCCGTACAGACATGAATTAATTTACAATATATAATATAGACATTAGCACAAAGTTGACCTGAAGTTAGACGTAACTGGTTACCTAGCTTAAAGCTAACTCCATATGCTAATCTGGGTAAATATATTTAGTCTAAATTTCAGGCTAAAATAAACTAATGCCAGAAAAAATATTGACACAATTCGAAGGTTTAGCTAAAGCTAGCATTACTGATTAGTCAATAAATAGGTATTTATTTTCAGGTTCTCATATGTCTGTCAGACAAGTCAGCCTCGGGGCTGGAAATAAAAAAGGGGAGGCTGAGTTGGGGGTGTTGTTTAATTGGGGGTCATCTGGAAAACATGGCTCTCTTTTTTAAAAGAGCATGTTGACCCTTGACCCTCGGGCCTTGTCCCTACTGGGGCTGATTGGAGCAGAACAAAAGGACCTGAAGGAGCAGCGAGCTGCTCTACAAGTGTCCCAGCACCAGGGGTTGACCATGTTACCATACGTCCACGTCTGGACCTGTTAGTGGGGCTTCAATGCACACCCACACACATACTCTGGTCTAGACGATCGGGACTACGGGGATTCACAGTGGGGCCCTTCATACTCTGTTACAGAGAACAGTATTAAACACAATAAACTTTGCAGTACTTTGAATTTATTTACTGGGGCTGATTGGAGCAGAACAAAAGGACCTGAAGGAGCAGCGAGCTGCTCTACAAGTGTCCCAGCACCAGGGGTTGACCATGTTACCATACGTCCACGTCTGGACCTGTTAGTGGGGCTTCAATGCACATCCACACACATACTCTGGTCTAGACGATCGGGACTACGGGGATTCACAGTGGGGCCCTTCATACAGAGAATAAAGAAAAAGAATAATGCTACGAGCACAGGCATCAATGCTAATGTTAGCTACGATGTAAACGTAGTAGAGAGATGAAAATACACAGATATAAATGAATGAAAATTAAAATTAGAATATTTCTTTAGTTACGTTCCACCACTAGAAAATATATATATAAATAACTTAAGCACATATATGTTAGCCACAGTATCTTGTCGTCAGATGATCAGAGGTTTGTCATATGGTCATCTGTATATTGTGGTCGTGTCTGTAGTAGAAAGTGTGTAATCAGCTAACTCCACGGAGCTGGGCCAGGTTTCCACCTTTGACAAAAAATGTTCAGTTGGTTAAGATTTTCCTGTAACTCAAATCCCACCCTTTACCGTTAACCCTTCATCCTCCATCTGTAACCTTTGGTTAAATCACTTCATCTCTTACAATTAGAACAAAGCGGTGGTCTTCTTCTCTGACAGGCGTGGCAGGATTCTTTAAAGAAACAAATCCTCTCCTCCTCTTGTCCGTCTTTGTTCTTGGAGACAACGGTGATCAGCAGCGTCCAAACCGACACACTCCTCTGATACCTGCCGGGCTTTTATGAGGCGCGTGGCGACACTGAGGTGAAAGACAAGACCTTTGTTTCTGGGTGTGTGTGAGTCACTTCAGGTGAGAATATCAGGTGACCTGAGGGCGTGTGTGTGTGAGGGGCGAGCGGGAGATTCAAACTGCTCAGATCGTCTTTCAAGGAACGACAGTGTAACTGAGAAGTCAACAAAGTGAGGGCAGAAGTTTTAGTTTGGATCAGAAATATGAAACTGAAACTGAAATGTGAAGCAGAACATTTATTTTACAGCTAGTAGATTACCAGTTTGCTGGTTCAATTCCCAGTCTTTTATGTAGGGTAGTAATTTACATTTACTCCGTTACATATACTTGAGTAAGTTTTTCAAAATAAAATACTTCTAGGAATAGTTTTAAATCACTATACTTTTTACTTTTACTTGAGTAGATTTATGAAGAAAAAAACAGTACTCTTACTCCGCTACATTAGGCTATACTGAGCTCGTTACTCATTACAGAGATGCTGGATAAAGCTTTAGCTATCTCTTATCCTGTTCTGTACTTTTATTTTGTCAAAGAGAGACTTCCGGCCAAGGCTCTACCGTGCGACTGTGTTTAACCAATAAAACGTAGCCTTTGCGGCGCAGTCTCGTCACGTGACCATACTCAATCTCAGCGGCGGGACGGGTTAGTTAGCGGCTACTGCGGTCGCTATCCACCGTCTTTGATAGCAAAAAATGGTAGAACGGTCAACGGTCGGTAATGCAGACGAAGACGAGGAGAACACCTCTGGACTTATATTGGAAGGTCAACGGTCGGTAATGCAGACGAAGACCAGGAGAACTACCTTGGACTCATATTGGAAGCATGTTCAGTTTACAGAAAGTGCGGAACAGCAGTTACATCGTGCGGTGTCTTTTGTGTCTCCCAAAACAAACGGATATTTTAGCATTCAAAAAATTAACGTCAAACAATTAACGTCTAACCCGAGGAAATATGTTGCGGTAAGTTTGACCTAAAATCGTTTTTTTAAAGTTATTTTATAAATATTTGTTTTTATGTACTCTTATGTATTGTTTCATTGATTCTTATTATTATTGAAGTACTTGACATTGTTTTTGGTATTAATTAATTAATTAATTGATTTGATTTATTGAATGCTCATTAAAAATAAATCAGATGTTACTCAACAGTACTTCACCAATTACTTTTTTTTAACTCTTACTCAAGCAATTATTTGTATGACTACTTTTTACTTATACTTGAGTAGTATTATTCTGAAGTAGCAGTACTTTTACTTGAGTACAGTTCTTGGCTACTCTACCCACCTCTGAGTATTTATGTACATGGCTTGTTCACAAACAGGAGCAGTGGTGCAAATCTTGGATGATGTTTTACCATCAGGCTGGATTAATATTCAAACTTCAAGCCTGGGGGGCAAATCAAAGTCAATGATTGAGCGTCACACACCGGCGTTTGGGTCCTGAGTCCTGTGGGTCAAATGGCTGCGGGGCCTACGGTCAGCTGTTTTACAGACGGCGACAGACACTGAGCTCAGAGCTTCAGGTCAATACGGTGATAAAAGCAGCAGCAGTCGGAGGTCGGTCTGAGAGACGGAGGCTGCACTGAGACAGATGTGGCTGCTGCTATAGATCCACGCTGCATTATCTGTCCGGCCTGAGGCCAAACGACAGCCAGACACTCAGGACGCAATGGGAAGTGCAGGTACACACACACACACACACACACACACACATACACGCATATATATATACTTATATATATAGGAGGAGTAGCATTTATTTTGCAAGTAACTATTGATTTCTTGAGTTAAAACACTCCTTGCAGACATCCAAAGTACTGTATGAGGTCACACACCTACAAACACACACTCACACACAGGGTCCTGTAGCCTTCTGGGTCCCCGGGCCACGGTTTCCGACACCCGAGTTAACAGTGGGTGATAAATCACAGGCTTCATCAGCTCGGCAGAGCCATGATGGATCATTTGAATCAGTGCAGTGTTACTAATTATCAGTGTAATAGCTGAGGCCTCTGAGTGTCAAAGGCCATAATGACGAGCCGCTTTTGAGCTGAATGCCAATAGTGAAGCCACACCGGGGGCTGATTGTGTGCGACCGCTATCGACCGAGCGTCTGCAGTGATTGTGGACTGAAGCTTTCGAAATGTCTCGCAGAAGCGATGAATGTTGGCTGCGTATATTCTGATCCAATCAGTATGAAGGAGGAGAAGGAGAAGGAGAAGCATCAGTTGCTGCTAATACTTTGGCGAAAGAATTAAAAATAATAAACAAATTAAGAGAAGAACTGAGTTGATAATTAAACTTCAGAGTAAGTATAAAAATATTAAAAATTATAAAAATATATTAGAACTTGACTGAATGATTGAATACACTTTATTGAATCTAAATAATTTTATATTAAATATATGTAACTTTTTTCTGTAATTGTCACATCAGCTGCAGTGTGCCTAGAAATAAAATATTTATAGTTCAGCTGTTTCTGAAGAAGTTTGTTTTATTGTGATGCAAAACGAACAAAAAATAATTAATAAATACAGATGGTGTAATGCATTTAAAGAAACCAAGCAATAAACAAACAATAAATCAGCTCAGCTGAGTATGTAAAGACTGGGGTCACCCAGTTGAGTTCTAACCCTGAGGAGTGGACAGATACTTTGTTTGTTTGATTGATCGATCGTTCTCTATGATTTCAGTCTTTATATCGTTTTTTTTTTTCTTTTTGACTAGATCATGTGTCAAAAAAACATTTAAATTGGTCATTTTGTTTGCAGTACTGCGAATGTCCACTTGGCTTCATTTCATAAAAGCCAACCATGAAAATAAATGAACAAGAAGGAAATAAAAAAAGACTGAAATAAACTCTGTTTCTCAGACCCTGGTTCTCTCCCCCCTTCTGGGTCCCTCGTCACCAGGTTGTCACCGCGGCCCTGCTGCGAGACACAACACAGCGTCGGCCCCGTCATCGATCAATAAACGGAGACGACTGGAACCAGCCGGATGAGAGCGGGAGACAGAGAGAAGATGGATGGAGAGTGGTCGCCTCTGGTTTGTTCTGCTGTTCACTCTCTGCTCTGCATTACCTGGATCACAGAGCACACACTCCCTGTGGGGCAGAAACACAGTCACACACACACGGTGAGACACAGAGACAACGGAGCAGCAGGGGAAAACAATCAATTGACACAACTTAGTTTGTCGTTTGGAGTCCGTCGCTTGGTTTTTCATCTCTGTGCTGCATTGATCCTGCACTGAAAATGAAATAGAATGAAGAACGACACAGACACAAGTTCTTTTTTTATTATTACAGAGTTAACAGGAAGGCGACACAATCTAAGATTCTTTGTCTACAGAAAAGTTTGGGCTTTAACTTTGAAATTAACCTGAAAGTTAAGCACGAGGAAAGATATTTTAAATAGCTTAAAATATAAATAATGTCAGAAATGAATCAACAATTACCTATTATAACAAACTATAAAAAGCTAATTAGCTAATTGTTGGTCCAGGTGTATTGTAAATTCAGCGATCACAACACAGCTGGAAATTGCTGCAATTTAGAGAAGAAACCCTGAAGGTAGGCCAAATATTAGCTCCATGTTAGCCACAAAGTATTGTTCAAATGGACTAAAAAGTCTCTCAAGAGTTAGCCACAAAGTATTGTTCAAATGGACTGAAAATGTGTCAAATGATGAATTAAATTTAGTCTCTCAAGAGTAAAAAAAAGGCAAAACTAAAATAAAAATAGAATTGGTTTTTAATCATTTTAAGTCTCAGAGAACCAGATACGTTTTAGCTTAGCTTTTGATTTTAGCTTAGTTTCTAATGAATACGCAATTAATGATTATTAAATTAAATCTGTTTAATATATGCAAATAAGACCAAGGTTTAACAATTTAAATATTTATAAATAGAACGGTAATGATTTGAAAGGACTTTGCGTTCCCAAATAAAAAAGTTTGTGAAAGTCATATGTATTGTGTCAGGAAATCAATGTTATTGTCAAGTCTGGTTACACTGTTGTGTGTGCACAGTGCTGTAGCAGCTGTCACCTGCCGACATTAGCAGCACAAACACATCAGAAGGACAGCAGGAGCAGTTTGATCCTCTCTCCTCGTCCATCGACCTCCACGTCTATTCCTCCTTCACATTTCTCCTCCACCTGCCAGCTCGTTTCTCCTCCTGTCTCACATCCACGGTTTCCCCCCCGATCGTGTCCAATCACTTTGACTGCAACTCTCCTGAGCAGCCGACAGTCAGAAACCAGCAGCAACAACTCAGATCCAGCTCCAGGCTGAGTTCAGAGCAGGCAATAGAAGTCAGGACGTCTGGTCCTGGGCTTCTTCAATAATCTGACAAACAGGCCTGTCTCCCAGCCTGTCAGGATTCACTAAGTCTGGAACAAACTCTACAGATGCATCACAGTCGTGGACTCTGGAGGGTTTCTTTTTTCGCTCACAGTCACAGAGACGAGTCACAGCTCGTACTGAGATCAGAGACGAAGGACAACAAATATTAAATCAAGCCGTCTTTAAGGAAGTCAGAATGGGCGAGTGTTGAAAAAACTTTAAGGAAGTCAGAATGGGCGAGTGTAGAAAAAGTGTACTAAGGAAGGGACGTGGAGGAACTAGATAATGTGACTGAAATAAACCGACACTGTCCTAGAATCCATAGAATTGAATAGACTTTTTTCTACCTGTAATAAAAAGTAGATATTGGTATTTGTACTATGTTCACGTTTCTACTATTATTATTTAACACTTATTTATGTTTGTCTGCACAGGCTGGCTGGAAGAAGCAATGCACCACTAGGGGGAGCCTCCACCATTTACAACAAATGGTTGAAAGTGAGTATTAAAACGTTCCTCCTCTTCTAATCCTCATTTACTGTCTGATCCATTCACACTCACATTCACACCAGTGAATCCAGAGTGAATCATTAACATCATTCCACTCTGTCATGTAGTGATGTGGTAACCTTTTGCTGATGAGCTAAAAATCTTTATATTAGTCCAGCTGCCTTGCTCAAAAGTACGTCCAGTATACAGAAGTCCAGTATTTTGTCCTGGTACCAGTCCAGTATGTTGTCCTGGTACCAGTCCAGTATTATGTCCTGCCCACTCCTCTCCTGTGTGTGTGTGAGCTGCTGTCTCTGTAGTGTGTAACAGAACAATGCATGATTCATGGCGTCATCTTTCTTTCATGCCGCAGGCTAAAATGTGAGTCTGAATCATTAAGTTAGTGTGTGTGTGTGTGTGTATATATACTTCTCTCACTCATATTTGTTTGTACACACATGAGCCAAGAGTACGGTCTCATCAGCCCGCGGCAGCAGGAACTCCCAGCAGGCCTCCTGCCTCAGTGACCTCTCTTAATCTCCTGTGATTGACACCTCTTACGAACGCGACGTCTCCTCCGTCCTCTGACTCCTCCGCCGTCAGTCCAGATACTGCTGGAGAATCATGGGAAGTCCCTGGACTCCTCCTCCTCAACCCCACGTCACGACCTCTGACCCTTGAAGGTCGACCTCCCTCGGATCTCTTTTGCTGCCTACGCCGGGGTTGGTCAAAGGGTGAGAACTTGAATATTTCATCTTCGGTGGCCAATCCTGCCACACTTCTACCTGTTCTGCTGCCCGACAGCAAAGAGTGACAGATCCAGACAGTAGTAGGGGATAAAAATTTAAAACATGTACCAACGATCAAACCCTGGTTTCCTTACCTCCACGCTAACACACACACACACCCACACAGAGTGTGACAGTGATGCTGAGTGATTGACACCGTGGGATGTTCCTCCTCAGATTATGAAATAATGATGCTGTGATCCTTCATCACTCCTCCACCTGTCCACTCCCTTCATCCCCTCTTCTTCATCAGTCCTCCTTCACACCTGCTCGCTCCCTGCTTCCTTGCTCCCTGCTTCCTAATTCAGTGTCACGTGTAGCGACTCCTCTGTCTTAAACTTGGAAAAAAAACATTTGCTGTACACGTCGATGGGCAGGAGAGCAAATCCTGATTAAAGCATCGGAACGGATTAAATTTTCATGGTTCAAAATCTGGTTTTCAACATATGGAGATGTTCACACAGACTGTGCTGTAAAGGTTGTATATATACGCATCCAGGTAGAGAAAAAAACCTGCGTAGAAGAAAACCTGGAGATAGAGCTGGAGTGATTAATCGGCCAATCATCGATTAGGAAAATGATTCAGTTCACACAACCTAACTGTCAATGAAGTTTGAACACACATGACCTTTGACCTCACTTCTTCTCTGCCGGAAGTTCCAGCTCTGAGAGGATGTGAGTCATTGTAGTCGTAGCATCACTCAAACGTGTGTGTGTGTGTGTGTGTGATAATAATCCACTGCTAAGTAAAAGCCGAGGTTTAATCCTCTCCTGGAGGAAGATCGCTCATTTCCTCCTTCACTTTTCCATCTCCGCCGCTCTCAAGAAAAAAGCCTTCTGGCACTGACACCGGCTGCAGAGATGAGGAGGAGGAGGAACCAGAGGTGAAATGATGTTGGACTTCCAAAGATCAGTGAACACATCAGAGGATTAAAGGATGGAGGACGGGCGACGAAGGAACCGAAATTCAAAGAATTATTGCAGAAAAGTCACGGGAGCTGCAGCGTCAGTGGATCAGAGTGTGTTTGTGTCTCAGAGGTGTAGTAAAATGGAGAGTGGTGGTCTGGGGGAAGGAAAGGGAAGGAAGCTTAATGGACGTGATGCTAATGGGCAGCAGCAGCAGCAGCAGCAGCAGGATGACTGTTGGTGCAATTAGAACAGGAAAGAGAGTGAGTGAGGGAGGACGTCTGATGATGGACCTGGAGTGACTGCTACCACTCAGACCTCCAAACAAATGAGATACAGACCATCATCTAGACCACATCACAGAGTGACTCTCTCTCTCTCTCTGACTTTCTCTCTCCCTCTCTCTTTCACCTCTGCTGTAATATCAGAAACAACAGAAACAAGAAATTGTAGAAGTACAGGTAAAGAATTGTTTATATATATATATATTTATACACATATATATATATATATACATATGTGTGTTTATATATATATATATATATACATACATGGTCAATAAGTTCTAAGACAGATGTTGCTAAATTAAATCATATATTCAGTTGATCAGGTTTTCCATCAAAAATCAACAGTTGAATTTTTATCTTTATCTTAGTAACAATCCAAACTACTTTGTTTTGTAATTCAGTAAAAAAAAAGGAGAAACAGAAAACATTAAATCTGATTTTAAAACATCAGTCATCAGTCTGCACAGAGACCACAGGTGGTGAGTCTGGTCCTGCAGCTCTGCCTCTGTTTGGTTAACTGCAGAGGTTTTGACACTCACGCTAACTTTTATTACAGCACACTCAAATGCTAGATGCAATTTTAATGAAGCCGCTTCATAACCCTTTATACTAATGAACCACAGAGTCAGAGGGAGAGAGAGAGAGAGAGAGACTATGGTGAAGAATGTGTTCTGCTGCAGTCACTGTTAGCGTCTCTGAAATGACAGGATACCAGTTTAGTAGCAACATCCGTGAGGTTCCTGCAGTGCTTTTGAATTTACTTTTTATTTGGATAATTTTAATAATATTTTTGTCAATGTATAATTTGGTTTATAAAAGTGAATAATCAATGAAAACGAATTATAATTTATAAGTAGTTTATAATTGTTAAATTGAATTTTTATGGGTTTTTTTTCCTGCTTTTATTCCAATTGCTGCACGAAACTACGGTGGCCGTCGAAGGCCATAACATACGACTGGACTTTAACAGTGATGTGACTGTCGTGGTCGTGTGTCGTGTGCAGTAAAGACTCACTTTATATCAACATAATTTAAAATCCCTGAGGATAATCTTTCAAGGAGACAGATTTCACTGTTAATTAGCCTAATGATGTTTTGATTAGAACAAGCTGTTGAGCTCATTAGTGTGTGTGTGTGTGTGTGTGTTTAACGCTCACGTCTTAATTACTGCTGTCTGTTTCTCCTGTGTCTCTCTATCTTCATTAAAGCGAACATCAGGTGTAAATAAACTCGAACTCTGTGACACAATCTTGGCTCTCTGCCAAAAACGGCGGCAATCGGCGCTGAAACGCCAGGATCCGCTGCAGACACTGGCTTCTACTGCCACCTGCTGCTGACTGTAGCCTCCTACACCCACTTGACATCGCGTTCTCCCTGTCTCTCCCTCCATTTTCCTGCACTCCGCTGCTCCCTGCTGGCAGTTGATGAACACTGAAGCTGACTGTAGCCTCAGGTGATGCTCAGGCTCATCATATCAGAGGATGAAATGTTTCAGTGCAGCAGCAGCAGCCGAGGGGAGCAGACCGAGCTCGTCTGTGGTTTCATAACCGATGTTTCTTCACAACATGTGCAGTGAAGGTTCAGAGTTTACAGCAGGAAACTACTGGAGGCTATTTCACATGAGTCACTGTTTGGATTCATGGATTCAGTGACTCTTTATTGGTACACTTTTAGAACATTAGTTCTGAATCCCTGTGTGAAGAGACTTATTTGAGAGAATTCCTGCTAAACTGAAGGCTCAACAAAACTGTGATGATTCATAGCAGCAGCTGCAAAGGATGATGGGTAAACGAGGATAGATGATGAACAGGTGATTCCACTCCAAGCCTGGTCTCAGTGATCAGCTCCTCCAGGATCTGCTCCACACTCGTGTGTGTTTCTGCTGACTCAGGTCTCAGATTTCAACCTGCAGCATGATGGACACATCCGTGTGTGTGTGTTTGTGTGTGCATGCCTGGACATGAGTGCATGCATGTGTGTGTTCATGCCTTTGCGTGTGTGTGTGGGGGGGTGGAGGGGGCGACACCCCAGAAACACACACACACACACATCCTTGACCTGTATGATCACTGTGTCTGGGTTCAGAAACGGTGTGTTTGCTGATTGGCAGGTCAGTCAGTGACGGACCAGTGCAGCGTCCAATCGTGTTTTTTACGAGGAGAGTGATTCATGTTGTTGCAGCATCTTAATACTGATGTCATCAGGATTTCAAAATAAGACGCGGAGAACTGACATACCCTATCTTTAAATCCTTGATTACATCCGATGTGATGCTTTGAAAACCACTTTGAATGAATTGAGTCATTTCACATTTCCTTCCAAGTGACATCAATCTTTTCCAAATTAAAGGTTTGAGGACACAGAGCTGTGATTAGCAGCTGAGTTACCCTCAAAGGTAAAAGGTTCCCACAGCTACGACAGTGTTTGGACAGTCAGTTGGTTCAGGCGGCCATTCATCACAACCTCATACACGAACTGTCAGAAGGAACTTCGCGGCCAAAGGTCGAAGCGTTTTACAGTCTTTGTGGTGATAATCTCAGAGAAAACACCGTGAAGAGAGAGATGGAGAGGCCAAATAATCTGTTCTTCTTTGTTTTTACAGCCCGACATCACACGCTGTAGTCAGCCATCGTCAGACTGAGGGTTAACTCCTACTTTTCATCTGATTGTGGGCAGACGACGTGGCGCCACCTGTGTCATTAACGAGTGCCGCAGTATACGTGAGATTTAGCGTGAGTTTACGATCCTGCTGTCGATTTGCATGTGCTGGCCAATCCCAATTTGAATACATTAATAATTCCCAAAGTGGGGGGCGTGGCACAGAAAGGGCCATTGGAATACATTTATTTTGAAATTAAAAAAAGGAATAGTTTGAAGCAAAGGATTTGAATGTGGTTGGTACTAGTTGTGTGTGTGTGTGTGTGTGTGTCAATGATGATGATTAGATGAAACGTAGCCTTGTATCCAAATGAAATCAGCCAATCACTGTTGTTGTTCTTCTACCGTCTGCAACCGAGGCAGTTTGATCCAGTTAGTATGTACAATCTATGGATCTAATGGCATTTCATGTTCGACTTGTGGACCAACCAATCAAATCACAGGGCAGTGTTTGTCATCAGTCCAGATTTTAACACGTGTACAGTCTCACCAGTGTCCTGTTAATGAATACAATGATGTTAATATCGTGATAGCATCATCATAATGAGGGATTGGCATCAGTTTCTGTTGAAATCATTTTCGACTTGTTTATTTTGGTGTCTCTTAGCAACCGCTCAACTCTTCATCAGTCCTGTGTGACTGCAGGTAATCTTCCACTTTCTCTCCCCGTCATTTCCTCCACCTACGTAATCATTCATTTGTAAGTTCGTGCATTGTCTTGGCCTGCATGTGTGGGCACATTGCTGATCCTGAGTCAGCCTCGCTGTAATGAAGTCACATGTGACGAACGCCCACAAAACAAACGAGAAAAAAATGCCGTCCGGGTGAGAACAAGGCTGAGTGGAAAACTCCTCTGATTTTCTGCCAACATTCAGTCCCACAAAAGGTGTGCAGATAAAGCAGCTGGAGGTTTGACGTCAACGTCGATTCAGTTCATTTGACCTCAGAAACCAGGAGACAAACTTTTTTCCAAATGTTTTCTTCTTAGACCACCTTGAAATAGTGAATGTTGCTGTACATACCTTTGAGGTCGTTTTTGACTGATCTGAACCTTTGAATTTTTTTTTTGATGAACACATGATGGATTTATGATTCTCTGCCAAGCCCCTGAAGCCCCCCCCACCCCCCTGCTGTGTCTCAGTTGATTTGATCTGATCTGTAGTGGCACCCCACTACAGATCAGATCAGAGTGGTGGCTCAGTGGTTAAGGGAGCGGACTTGGGTCTGGAAGGTTTCAGGTTCGAGTCCACCAGCTGCCAAGTTCCCACTGGGGTGCTCTGAGCAAGGCACCGTCCCCACACACTGCTGCCCACTGTTCACTTTGATGATAAAGCAGAGGTCACGTTTGGTCGTGTGCTGTGTCACAATGATAAGTCGTTCACTTTCCTTCCTTTAATCTTGATGATTACTCTGCCATCGAAATCGGCGGTTGTACTTAGCGCTCGATGATGGAGCAGCTAGATCATGGTCGTTTGATATTTGTGTGGCTGAGTCACCAGGGCTTTACGCCTCCACCAATCAGGATCATCAACTAACGTCCAAAATGCTGCCAGTGACGCAGGGTCAGAGAACGACACACCGGGTGCCTTTGTGTAGCATGTGTTGGTACAGGATTGTCTGTGGTTTCTGTGTTAGCCTCAGGCTGCTGCTGCTGCTGCTGCTGCTGCTGCTAAAGCAGCAGCACGAATGTGATGATAATAACAATAATCATCCACCAATCATATGTTGAATACAAATGATGCACACGCAACACAGTCGTTGACACGGCACTAAAGGCTGGTAACGGCTTTCTCCGCTTCAACGCATTCCGTTTCCGTTTTATGTTTTCAAACCTGAATTTCTACATTAACAACAAAAGGTTGTAATTGCGGCTAGTTCAACGGCTACTAACTGCAGCAACTACCTGAAAACTTTCCACTGCCGGCCTGTGATTCATTTACATTTAGCCTTAGCATAGCATAGTTTTTTTTAATTACTATTTTAGAAACATTTGGCCAAATTTAGCTGCAAAAACATTTTCGTTTAAGGCATTTTTGTCAACCTAAAATTTTTTTCCCTTTTATTGGCTACCTTTTTCTTAACTTAAAATACATTTTAATATTATTTCATATTTTTTACATGCTCGTTTCTCACTTTTTTCATCACGATTTTCACAGTAATGTTTACTGATGTCTGGTTGGCTGGTCTATGGTCGATCATCGACCTTGTCAATTTAGTCGTTTGTTACATTTCCTTAGTAATTCCAAATTTTGAGCTGTTAGCCTTCAAAGCTACGTTGCGTGTAAATCCGTCCTATGCACTGATGCACCCACACACACACACACACACACAGGTCTCAGTTCTCCTGTAAATTAGCCACCGTTGTTTGTCTGTCGGCAGCGCATCGTTTTACACCAGTGTTCTGTAGACAACGTGTCGTGACAGGGTGAGGTGACACCGGTGTCGCAGTGTGACACTAGTGTTTGAAGCCAGATGAAGAACCTGACGCTGACCAAAGATAAGAGACACCACAGAGAAAAAGAAACTCTCTGTATATTACTGCGCGCTTCAGGTAAATCATTTACCTCCATTATTGCCCCCTCCTGGAGTGTCCTGACAGTCACACATTTACTGTACACTACGCTTTAATCACGACATTTTCATACAGAAGGTTTTATGATTTTTTTTATGACGTGCTTATGCAATAATTTACAGTGTGAGTAATATGAATTTACAGAAAAGCTCTTTAGTTTCCTTATTTCTTTTCACTGTGTAAACATAGAACAACCATAAAAGCCAGACTAGAATAAAATTTATTGGCAAACAAGTAGCGAGAAAAATGAAAAGGTGAGGGCGTGCGGAGTGTAATTTTCTTTTCGTCCTTTGCTTTAAAAACCTGAACTTTCCCTTTAACTGTGGCTCTGACTCAAGGGGACAAAAGCAGCACATTTAAATCCCTGTGAACCCGAGGGGGCTTTTCTGTTTTTCTTTTTTCCTTCTTTTTATACGCCAACAAAGCACACTTGATAATTGCCCAGCTAACCTTTCTTTTTACCAGGTCATCGTCTCCAACCATTTTCTCCATCTGTCTCTCAGACAAACAGGTGGAGGAGAAATCTGATCTGTCTTCAGGGGTTAAAACAAAACAAAACAGCCAAACCAATCTGCCGCACTCACACCAACGCCTGCTGCACATGAAACACATCTCTGTCGGTTCAGGCAGCGTGTGTTGCATCACGCAGCCATTTAACTGTCACAGGAAACATGCGCTGCTGAAATCTGCGTGTCCTCTTCACCTCCACCGTTTCCTCAACCTGGTGATGTCACAACCTCACTCTCTTATCTCTTATCTGACTGAATTCCAGGACTTCCTCAAAGCCAAATATGGACATAGATCCTGCAGGATGCATTGTCGCCCACACCTGGAGAGGGTTGTGAAACCTTTCTGGATTGTTAGCAAGAAAATAAAAAGGAGAATAAAAGGACGAACATGTAGCATACACCTAGCTGTAGGTTAGATATGCTAGCCAACTAAATGTAAATTTAGTTTCGTCTTTTATACTAGTAGTTTAAACAGCATTTTAATGGCAGAATTGATCTGTGAAGACTCCCTTTCATTTTTCTTATTAATGTTTAGTTTTTTATTCACTTAGGTTTAAGTATTTTAAAAAAAACATGGGCAACAATTAGCTGTGTTGTCTTTTTATTTTTTTATTTTTGCTTTTAGCATACTTATTTAGTTTATTGATAATGTGTATTTATACTGTATATTATATTATATTTATGTATATATATCCATCCATCCATCCATTTTCATCCGCTTATCCGTTACCGGGTCGCGGGGGCAGCAGTCGCCACCCAAATCACATTGCACCATACCTAAACCTTCCTGCGGGTGGTGAGTCCACTGGAAGGTATTAACCGCCCTAAACGGGATTCGAACTTGCCCAGGAGGTGAACCCTGGGGTTCCACACCAATGACAGAGACATTGCCTCTGGGCCAAAGCGCCACTATGTATATATATGTTTATGTATATATATATATCAAAAATGTACTTGATATCTTCAAAAAATAGGCAGAAATCAACAGAAAACACAAGCAATGCAGAACAAAACGTAATTGTCATCTGAGTCATGTATACGTTGATGATGACTCATTTCCTGTGACATTAATTTCATAATCAGTGGTCATTGCTGCAATATTTTATTTTAATTTTTATTGATGCTGTGATTACAGAGAAAACGATTTTTACAACAGGGCAGTTCTGTGTAACCGCTTTGTCTGGCACGTCACAACTTGGATTTATTTGGTCATATCTTTTGGACTTGTGTAACTCACGGTTTAACAACATAGAGATAGTCACAACAACCAGTCCACAACATCAGTACTGAGTGTAAAAGATCAATCTAACTGTGCACAACACACGAGGTACATTTATTTATTTATTTATTTATTTTTAATTTGATGAGAATTAACATTTCATTTATTTTCTCCACACTTTCTCACCCTGATCTGAATCTGGTTCATCTTGCACTTCCTTGGTCTTTACTTGGACTTGATTTTATCTTGATTTTCCTTAGTACTGTACTTGTCTTTGAGCCAATCTTCATTCTTCCTGCGTCATCATGTCATAGTTTAGAAATTGTTCCTTACATTTTTTTTGACCCTATCTTTGTGTTGATTCAGTTTTGGTTCATATTTGAATGTCCTTTTACATCTGAAACACTTGTATCTGTTTCCCCTCCCTTCTTTCCCCTGCCACCTTGAACCTGCCCTCGTCCCACCTCTGCACACACACACTGCTGATAAGTGACACCGAGGAGAGAAAAGCAGCTCTGAGTTACTTCGATCAATTCTTCTGTGAGCGCTCTCCTTCAATGTCATTCCAGAGAACAATCACCGGCTGTTCACAGCTCCTCCCTCGGTCAATAAGAGCCTCCGGAGTCCAAACAGCCGATCTAAGGGTCTTTTACTTCATAGTGGACTCTCTGGACCACAGGTTTAACAGGAGACGGCTCTGTAATTACAGTGTTTACATGTTAAAACCGCATTGAAAACAAATGAAAACATTTACTTTAAATCATGATTAGTGAATAAAACAGAAGTGAATGACTTTGAACAGAGGACAGAGTTGATCAGGTGTACAGTATTTGCCTGTTGAACAGGTCAAACCAGACCAGCGTTCAACTCTGTGTCAGGCCGTTAAACATCATTTAAAGGCTAGAGTTTAAGAAGAGGAAACACCAAACGTTTGCGTTTTTGATTAGCACTACTGCCTAATCTTTAAGTATAATCTAGTCCAGTAAACTGACGCGAGTTTTCACACATCACTCTGACTGACTTTGAGCTAGCATTTCTGGCTAATCGTGGCTAGCAACGTCTGCCTTAACTGCTGTTTTGCTGTTTTCAGTGATATTACAAAAGAATCTTTTGAGTGATGTGACGCTTTGTATCGTATTTCTGCCTAAGTTCTTTTTACATTTCTTAGAAAAAAGCATTTCTGAGAAATGTTTTTTGGCATCTTTTTGACTTAGGGTTAGGGTAAGTTTTACTTACATTTTTTCTTCGAAAATTTTAGTTACATTTTAGCTAAAATTTTATTGGTTACACATTTTCCGAACAACTTGTTCATGGCATATTTTATAGCTGAGATAACCCTTTTTTGCATTGTATTCTTTCAATCTTTTCTCTGCTTCTTTGCGTCTGTTGAGCCAGTTGTGTTTATTTGTTGTTAAAACAGCTTTAACCTGAAGAAGACACAGAAAAGTCAGCACTGCATGAATTCACTTGACAGACGTGTATTTTAAACACTACAGTTCCTGTTTGTGCTGTGAGTATGTCAAACAGGATTCAGCAAACACAACCAGGTCAGAGTCTGACCCCTGATGCACATTTAAAAGCTCATAAACCCGTGTGGACACTCGACCTCCGCACATCAAGCTGACCATCTCGAGTCGTTGCTCCTGCGTCTCTTACTCCCTCGTCTTCTGTCTGCCGTCTGTCTTTAAAGTGTAGCCGCAGACCGGAAAATTCCAAAAAGTCTGCGGAAATCTGAAGTTAGTGTTGTGACAATCTAACGATATTTTTCTGCTTTTCTAATCTGAAGTTAGTGTTGTGACAATCTACACAGATCTTTTTCTAACGATATTTTTCTGCTTTTCGCCAGACACGTTTTATTCAGACTGGACACAAAGTAAATGACTGACCAGTAAACGGTGACCCGGTGGCCGCAGTAGCACAGATAATTACTTAATGATTCCCATGTCCATTCTAATGAGACAGATACCATCAGCAGTCAGCCGTTCATCTCCAGTGAACCGGAGCCAATAAAGGCTGACTCTCGTCCCACACTCTGACCACTGGAAACCTCTGAACCCTGAAAGAAACTTTGTTACAGACGTTACCTCACACCTTCAGTTACATCTTCTTACCATAACTACTTAAGGTCGTAAACATGTTACGACCTTACATGTTTAGTAGAAATGAAATTTATTTTAGTATAAACCGTCTACCTTAAGCAGCTAACTTTTAGCTAAAGTAGTAATGACAGAACTAGCTAAACATTAGCCAGGTAGTTAGCAGGAAGTGAACTGAGCTTCTGCTAATCTGTGCCGTTCTCTGTCGTTTGGCTAACGTTTGGCTTTAACTTTAGCTTTGACTTTGTCAGGTCCCTTTCTGGGTGACCTTTGACCCTTTCAGCTTACTCTTGTAAACAGAAAATTAGCTACTTTATCAATGTTTCTGCTAAAGCAACTTCTACTTTTTATCTTTTATTTTTAAAACTAGCGAAGTCACAGGTTTGTCTTGCTTTAACTAATGACAACAACTAAACTATTGAATTTTATGCTAACTATTGATGTTGCCTCTTTCACTTCGTCTTTTCTGTTCTCTTTCAATGGAATATCATGACAATTCTAATGTCAAAGACGTACAGCCACTAGGTGGCAGGTCTGGGTGACGCCGAGGTCTTGATAGACACAACTTAGCGGCGAGGAGAGGAGATGCAGCCACATCCTACTGGTGATAACAGAGCAGTGCGTGAGTGGGTGTCAACCTGCTGAGCTCGGAGCCCATGTCCTCGTCTGCCCTCTCGTCTAATAACAACACTGTACCAGTGCAGGACACAAACAGAGACAGTCAGGAATGCTGTGGATCAAGTTAGTTCTCATCCTCTGATGCGGCTTCCCTCGTCGATTAGGGCCGTGCGGCAGCTTGAAAAAGAGAGAGAAAAGGGTTAGAAACTCAACCCATCTGCCTCCATTTACATCTCATTTGCAGCCCCCTCCCTTTTTCTACTCTCTCAACAATGGTGTCTCCAGCCTGGATGTACACACACACAGAAAATGAGAATTTATAGATTCTTTAGAAGTCCGAGAAGAAATTGATGGAATATGAAAGAAATAATATCTTTGCAAGATCGCCCAAAATGAAAATGAAAAATAAAGTTAAAAGTAAAAATAGCTGTTAGCTTTTAGCTCATATATATTCACAGAAGTCTTGTACATTTTAAATATTGATTCTCCTAAACATCATCCGTGTCCATTTCCATCTCATTTGCAGCCCCCCCCACTGCTCTCTCTTGGTTTGCACTGGCCTGTACACACAAATTAGCTATTGACAAAACTAAGTGGTTGTACAGGTTCTGCCTTTTGTCCTCAGCTGCAGCCTGAGGGATTCTTTGTTGCGATCTTGTTTGATTTTCTTTGCCTTTTTTTTCTTTACATTCATATATTTGCCTGCTGTGTGCGTTACCTGATACAGGTGAACAAGTTTCACCTCCATTTTTTGATTTTGTTTGCTGTGTGTGAGAATCAAGTGAAGCAAATGTTCCACATAGTGAAGCCAAGACGGAGAAAAGGAACACGCCTGGAGCCAAAGCCTGTGCTCACTAGTTTAACAATGACTTTGTATTTATTTTTTTATTTATTTTTTAGATTATTTGTCCATCAGAGGCGGCAGTAAAAAAGTTTCCATAACCCTCTTAAACAATCAGACCCATGTGTGTTTGTTGGGTTTTCAAAATATATATTAAATATTATTGTATTTTTTACATGTTTCAACAACATCACGTCATCAATAGAGGAGGATAGAGGGTGGACTTAAATTAAATTCAATAATTTCCTTCAATATTTAAGGCTATATTTTAGATATCTTGTTTTTTTTATGGTTTATTTTCATGGTTTTTCCATAACTTCTGGATATCTTCAGCATTTTCAGATATTACACAAGCCTGGATACACATTATTTTACCCTTACCATGTGGCTACACAGACCTTATGATGTAGTTTGGTTTAAAAACTATGCAGTCAGAAACAGTATAAACTCCGATGAAGCCCTGTGAGAACATCATGACATCATCATGGTGTGATAAAATGTCACCTGCATAAAAAGTAAAGACAGAATAAAACAACAAAGTAAACAAAGTGCAGCAGTGAGGGATGTCCTTTGATATCTGATAATGGCATGTTGTGTTGTGTTGTTTGGCTGCCCTGAAGTGACAACTATCTTTTGACCAATCAACACACAGCACCTCTCCGCCCTTTACGTGCAAGATTACAATTAGCATGATTGAGTAAGAAAAAGAGCATACACCGACGGCTTGGTCTGTGCATAAGGTTTATGACTTTTATATGTATTTATGTAGAAAACTGGTTAATACAATGAAAAATAAACAAACTTATGCTGAGCTTCTTCATTAGCCCGGTTGCTACGGCTAGCCTTATGAACCTTTTGACGTGACATTAGCTTCCTACAGTCAGTTGATTTGACTGTGAGAATGTGTTTTTATGTACAGTCTGTTTTTATCAAACACGTTTCATCCATGTCTGACACTGGAATAATTATAAACTAGTAAAGTATGTGGTCAAACCGGTGTGACAAACTAGACCTGATTGAAACGGTTCCTCTTGTTACTATTATCAAGCACAAAAGGAATCCAACATCGTCATCAGAGGTGGATTTCTCACGCTCTGGGATCCTCACGGCTCAGTGAAGAGAACTGATACACTGTGTAAAGTCAGCGTCAACAACAGCAGGAAACCGATAGTAAAATATAATTGACATCATTTAGTTATATTAAAATCATTGTATATCTGTAACCACTTCATTGATACTTCCTGGTGATAAAAATAACATGTACAGTACACAGTGATTAAGACTGGGCTATTTAGGTCACAGTCCAATCTATGTCCAATCTATGGTTGATATAGTACCATGTGAGTGAGAACGTGTCCCCTGTCACTGCTTTTCTTAGATACTGTGTCCCGTTTAGTGGGTCTCACCCTACAGTATGACTCAACTGTCGCCATAGCCATTGTTAATTAGAACGGTTTACCCTTACCTTCATTTTCTGACCCGATTTTCTCAGCCTAGATAGTGAGTGTGGATTTGTCCCACATTATTCCTCTTATGGTAATAATGTGTTTTCTGTGCAATGTGTAATCTGTAATCTGTATGCCAGCTACAACGGACCATTCCTTCTGCAGTACAAGTACCGCTCATATTACATTTTCTATACTAATACCTTTGGCACACCTATGGTAATGGCACTAACACTTAAAGTCAGACTTTATAAATGTGTAATACACAACTGATATGGGCAACAAGTGTTTTATTACCATGGAGATTAGACATCTTCACATTATTGTGAAATTTTGTGAATGGTTTCATTGACCAGCTAACAAAAGACGCCTACCCCGACTTTAATCCCTGATTAACCTCAGTCCTACCTTAAATCTCACTAGAATCAATGCGGACCACTCAGATGTTTAACCAGCTCCACTCACATTTATGATGCAGTAGTGAGTCAGGGAATGCTTTTGTCCTGAAACACGTGCAGAGAATTGTCTGTGTAAAGGTGAACGTGTGTTTAATATGAACGCCTCCGTGGTGGATTACACCACAGGCAGATCAGACGAGCGGACTGCGTCTGCTCTTGATCCGTCTGCTGTTAAGATTTTAAAAATTCACTTTCCTCCGGCCATAGGTCAAGGAGACGGAGCGTCTCTTCAGACAGACATGTCAACAGGACAGCTAACGGCCTGTGGGTACAAAAACCAACCCATCACCCCCCAAAACGGTGATTACATCAGTGTACAGCCAGGACAACTGTTGGGGGTAGTTCAATTAAAGGTGTGCTTTATGCAGAATATGAACTATGACCAAGAATATAATTCTATATATAATGAGACTGAATCAAACTGTTCAGATTCTGCCAGTGGATACATTTTTTTTTTATTTATTGAAAATACTTCCTGCTCATACTGGGAAATATAACGCTCTATCTGTGCTGCATTTTTGTAAATGATTGGAAAACAATCATGGATGCCTTTATTTGACCCAAATTTATTTTGCATACATAAACAACATCACTGGGTCCTGTCATGGTGTCCTCATCTGCACCGTGATACCTCCCCGACCCCCAAAGAAAAAAAAACTGATGCAGTTTATGTATTCACTCTTTATGGTATTTTTGTCCTATCAGCCTAAAACCTTTGCATAGTAGTTATTTAGCATAAGTTGACTGGTTTCAATAATACAGTCCGTCTTTGTGTGCGCGCTTGTCTGTCACTTGTTTTCCTCCTTTCTTTCGCTCCAGTCTACCCCCCACCCCCTCTCTCTCACGCTCTACCACCCAATTGGCTGCCAACTCAGTTCATCAGCCCTGATTGGCTCCTCCGCTTGTCAGTCTCCACAAGTCCGTACTTGAGCTCAGGTAAAGTCTACCTGGAGAGAGAAAAGAGCCAGAGGGATAGACACAAGGAAAACTGTGGACTCTGGAATTGCTTTGTTTGCAGCTCCACTCCGTTTCAACAGTAAAAAAAAAATACGTCTTTATGATTTTGTAAACTTATTTCTGAGGAAAGTTAATTTGTTGAGAAGAAATCATCCGAATGGCAGCGAGTGTTGGATTGGCCATGAATCCGCCGCACACTACAGAAGAGAGGGCGGTTTTTACGCAACTGAAGCCGGTGCGGATGTCGGGGGCAGACGGTGCGGAGGACGCATCCGTGTTTGAAGACGTCAAACCGGTGGTGAGTCTTGTAGTCAGCCTTTTTCACTTTTCATTTTCATGAAAAAACAACAACAATTTAAAAAAAAAAAATCACTTTTCATTTTCATGAAAAAACAACGACAATTTAAAAAAATATGACGTTTAACGTTTACATTTCGAACCTCAACACTCTCTGTGTCTTCGGCCAAAACAAAACCGGAACTTTCTGATTTTTAAACAGCATGTTTGTGTTTGTGCCGTGTTTTTAATCACGTAAGAACCAAAGCCACTGATCTGAGTCACATGAAGTGACACATGACATGTTAGTAAACGCAGGTTACCTGTCATTAGCAGCCGGAGCCTGGCTAACATCGGGGTTCAATGGGGTTGGTTTGTTTTTTTAAATCAAGAAAACACAAGTATCTTTGTTGTGTTATTGTGCACCACTGTTACAGTGCTGTAACATAACATCATATTATAATGGTTGATTTATATTTTGATTAGAATTATGCAAATTTTAAGTTTGTTTCCATTTTTAATGCGTCTATTGCTTTTGAGATTATTTTCTGGTCAAACTGTGACATCATCTTGCATTATTTTGGAGGGGTGTTACATTAGCCTTTACTGTACCTTTGGGTTAATTAGCAAAACATGTGATTGCTGTGTCATATTACTATATTTTAAACTACATTGTAATTTTTATCTCCCGCTGTGTTCGTTCATTTGTAATTTTTGCTGATGAAACTACAGCCATGTTGAAATGTGCTTTTAATTTTTACGCCTTTCATTTTACACCATCTTACCAGTGGACAACTGATATATAAAATGATTTATTTGTATGTTTCTGTAGAATGGATTCTTTTCTATCAAAAAATCCATTCCAAAGTCGGAGGCCAAAGTCGGAGATTAACGGTAGTTTAGGACCACACGACCACCTCTTTTGTGCAACCCGAACAAGCAATCGCAGCTTAGAAGTGACAGCAGCATTAAAGTTAAATGGCTGTGAATTGTCCGTTGGCCCCTGGGTGATCGGAGCGGAGCGCAAACAGAAACCGGATGCCTTTGAAAGGTGCTGAGCTTGGCCTCCTGCCCTGTGTTTGGTAAACAGGCCGCAGTCGGTAGGACCAAGAGACCCAGCGGCTAATAAAAACCACCATGTGTGCTGTGTGGTTTGCACCTGAAAAGAGAGAGAGACAGAGAGAGGGAGAGAGAGAGAGAGGGAGACTGAATTTGTAAAGAGAAAAAAAAAGCAGTCATTGGTGCAGTTTGAATTTGATGCTTTGATGTCTATTGAATTGTCCCTTTATGCACACACTGGACTGGCAGGCATCACATGGTGGAGCTGTTTGAAACAGGTCTTTGTTGACAGTGCCAGCAGAACAGGTATGATCGCAAAAGCTTGGCAGCGATGGAACATGTGACAGATAAATTAAGACTTGCAGCGGATTAGTTTGTATTGTATGCTTCGTACGTGGGATTTTCTTTTACATTACAGTGTAATGGAGTCCAAGATGTGAGAGCCTTGACCTGAAAAAAAGACCTTAAGATCCATTTTTAAGCATTACAGGAATATTTCAGGATTCTTTGAAGCGGTGTCATATTTGCGCTCGTACATATTCACTGTGTTACAGCTACAGGCTGTTTTACTGGGGCAGATGTTTCCACCTTTAACTGTGATGTTCAGGTTGTTCTACAACTTTCTTACTTCGTCCATAGAGAAAATCAACAACACTCCTCGATGCAGGAGTACTTGATACAAATCTGCCTCCACCAGTACATCAAAATGTGGTCTTTTAGGAGTTTAGTATTTGAATTTTTTTATTATTATTATTTTTATTCTGATTAACCTCACAACACCAACCTGTCAAACAGATGAGAAGTAGACAAGTTAGTCATTTATGCCTGCAGGCTGAAAATGCTGATTTTCTCTAAAGACATTAGTGGAGGTTGTTAGTTTTTTCATGCAAATACCTCTTTCAGACAACGGTTTCTGGCAAGATAATTAAGTTGTTGTCACTGTGTAAAGTACTTCCTCTAATGAACTTTAAAGAGATATGTAACAGTTTGGCTTTATACCAGAAAGGACCTGTTTATCCACTGCTGGCTCCATCAGACATTTCAAATTTCAAGTGAGTTTCAAATACTGCATTATATGCTGTTAAAATGTGTCTGTCTGTTGTTTGCACACTTAGGATTTACATTATGGGACTCCCAGCGTTTAGCCTTACTTTAAAAATCTAAAACTGTACCTTTGATTCAGTGTAGTTCCTTTATAGGTTGGTGTTATGCAAAACACAACAACAAACAAGTCAGGTTAAAGTAAAATAGTCTCCTCTAAGGCAAACAAGTGCACGTACCAAGGGTTTACCTTTTGTACTGAAGAAAATAAAACCTTTGTCACTGATCACAGTTCAGTTTTATATCCCTGTCTTTTTAACCTCCTGTACATAAAAACAGTTTAATAACATCTACATTTAGTGGTTGTCTCCGCTTTTTTTTTACCCCTCTAGGACATGTTTTGGTGTCATGATGTTGGTATTTTAAAGAGTGTTTTAGCTCTGTGTCGTGACAGTAGTATGTTGCCAGACCTGTCTGAGCACAGCCCACAACTCCACAGGCCGCCTCCAGGCCAGAGTGATGGAGGCAGTGAGGGTGATAAAAGCCTTAGACGTATGAGAAAGTTCACAGCGTTGTCGAAAAATTGATTAGGTTCCTCAAACCTGCCACTGCCGCTTTTTTTTCCCTTGTCATATACTCACTATTTCACAAGCCTACAGTTTCCATTCACTTTTTTTATCTGGCAAACAGTGAGTAAGTGCAGCTGCCGATCGGTGTAAAAAGGAAAGAGAAGAAAGAAAGTGATATTTTTAATCAACACCATATGTATCCATGTCTCCAAAATTATTATTCTTATATTTCTTGGTAACTTGAGCTACCTCAACTAAGACATTCTGGCATATTTTTAGATAGACGTGACAGACGTTTGCCAATTTTGAAATTATTAGGCTAACACAGATGAACAGATTTTGGTTATTTTTGGTTTCACAATCTGTCTAATTATGAATTGAAACCCTTGGTTTTGTTCCATGAGGGCACATACAGACGGTTACAGAGGTTTATCATATGACATATGTCATTTTTCAAGGATTTGATCGTGCACTCATCCAGCTGTAACGACAGAATAAGTAACTAATATGAAACCAATTTCCAGATTCTTTGGTCGTTATATCACCCACGGGGTCTCCTGTATGGCTGAGCACAGACGACACAGCAGGTTACACAGTAACTTCACATCATGCAGATCAAGAGTCATGCCTAATGATTCCTAAAGATCAATACTCAGATACCGCCTGCGTCTACTTCTGCCAGGGATATGAAAACGACTTTTCTTCCTTTACTTCCTCTGATTATACACAGTGCTCGATGTGTTTGCTTTAAAGCCTCTGATGTCTCAGTTTTGACAAGACTCACCCTGTTTCATGTCATGTCAACCCCCCCATTAGTGAACAGCGGTTCATCCCACCTCTTTTCTTCTTCTGACTCCTGTAGCTGGCGGCCATTTTTCATGCAGCCGAAGCATGATTTGGTTTTGGTCTGACTAATGATTTGACTTGCAGCACAACCTGCACATTAACGCACGCAGCAACTGCTTTGCATCAGAGCGAGTCTCAGCTCGCCATTGTTCCACATTTAATCCCGATGTATGGAGTGTGAGGGGTTTTTTTTGTTGTTGTTTGGTCTATAGGAAAAACACAATTCCTGTCTGTAAAATACTAAAATCTCAAACATACTGTACAGTCTAGTGTTGCCTCAGGTTGAGTCAACCTAATCCTCATGTTGAGGATTGAACTAAACTAGAGAAACTTGAGCAGAGCATCCATTTTATTCCCCTACTATAGATCAGTATTAGGAGAAGAATGACTTTATGTTTTTTGCTTTAAAAATCAATGCAACTACTAACTACTAAAGCAATACCTTCAAATGTTGGGTTTTTTATAATCGTCTTGCATTGTGTCACAAATAATTATATTTCACATTCTGACTCGTTCATTTCACACACCTGCTCATCCAGCTGTTATTTTCAGCCTGTAAGCCTCAGTCAAACACTCAGTCGTGATCTTACTTAAGCATAATTGCAGGTGTTTTCTAATCACTTTAACCAGGTCATCTTATGTGTATTAATAACAGGCATGCCTGAAATGGCAGATCTGAGTTACTTGCCCAGTTTTAAATTACCTAACAATCACCTCCTTACATTGTTTTGATTTCTTGCCAAAGAGATCACAGGTCGTGATGCTGGGACCTGAACTTAGCTGGGAAAATAAAACATGACGATCAGAGCTGCAGTCAGAGAAAATACATCAGATCAAAATCTCTCCTCTTCTGTTTGTACTCACTTATTAGGATTTAGTTAAACACAACTTTAAATATGACTCCTATTGGTTAAAAACACACATTTATGTTCTTAGAACGCAACATCTAAAGAAAATCAAACGAGGAAAACTCATTTCTTTTTAAGAGTTTTAGAAGTTATCTAAAGAAAATCAAACGAGGAAAACTAATTTATTTTTAAGAATTTTAGAAGTTTAGAAGCAAACTTCAGACAGAATGTCATCATCCACTGGAGTGGCATCATTTTAACACCAGTGTTCAGGTTTGTTCTTCTGTTCTGTTTTGTGCCAATAAATCATTCTAAATGTTGCAGACTGGTTCGCTATGTTATGACTGATTAATGAATCAGTCTGACCAGCAGGAGACTCAACATTTGAGACACTCATTCTGCCCCCACTTGCTTTTGTTCTGCCTGCTGGTCTGTACCCTTCATGCCCAGCCACGTCTCCAGTGGCTGAGGTCTGTAAACTCATTTACCAAAGCTAAAAAATCTCCCTTAATGACTGTCTTTGTTTATCGTGCTTTGTCTGGGAAAACAGTGAAAATAGAGTCAAAACAAACCTTGGTTTCTGTCCAAAAGACGAAAAAGGGTGTCTCAAAAACGTTCAGGCCACTTTTCAAAGTGCCATGACTGTTTTGCCCTCAGGAATAGTCTTTGTTCAAGTAATGAGACTATTAAGGCTTCTGTAAGTCCTTTATGTTCATTGTGTCATTAAAAATTGTAACTGCAACTATTATACAGTGGAGCGGTAGTCTTAACTCTCATCTTGTATTTAAAATGTCGACCCACACTGATTTAATGCTAGTTTCCCAAGGCTTTGATTTCTATATGTATATGTGTATCGTATATCATGAGATCAGTGACATTTGAAATCAAATACCAGAACAGGAAGTCTATTATGTTCCCACCCACCTGCCTGTCTACATTACTCCTGGTCAAATCTGGGATTACTTTCTTTTTTTGTGGGACAATATACAATAAAGCCAGACAAAAAAACAGGGGAAGGACAAAGCTGAGTGAGAGGAGAATCCGTGGAGGTTCTGGGTTGTGTCCTAGAACGACTTTTGTCCTCACAATGCTGTTTTGCTTATGTTACAGCATGTCATTGAGATGAAATCGAAGCCTGTTACACACTGTATGGTCGCAGACAGAATACAACCAACAGAAAACAACCCTGTTGATTTCTGAGTTAAGTCTCATATAGTGTAGTTCACAGTCAGTGATGGCGGCCATTGTCTGAGTCCCGTGACCATTTTTACTTTTATTAGAGGCATTTAGAACTTATAACCTTGTCAGAAATGATTAACTACAGCTAAAATAAAGCAAAAAATATAGAAATAAAAAAAAGCAAAATATATATTAAAAATAATGTGGAAGCAAAAAAACATGATTTTGTTTGTTAGACCATATATGTATAACAAATAAACATATTATTAAAAGTCAAGGTGACGCTGATATAGTTTACCAGTAGAAGCTTTTGGTTTTGAAGTAAACATCCAGATATATGTTTCACTATTGCTGTCCTAGAAAAACCAAAACTCTGTATCTCTCCCTGCATCATAAGTGGCTATAAAACAACATCTTGGTCTCAAAGGTTGTGTTTTGTTCCGTTGACCTCGTCTTGATTCCCGCTCTGTTGGTTAACAGCAAGCAATTCGAGGTCCGGGGCCCCCGATCCTATCAGGTTTATGGAGATCCAAGGGCGAACGGCCATCCTTTCTCTGGATTCCTGAGAGTTGTAAATTTAAAGTGAGACACTGTGTGTGTTTGTCAGTGTGTGTCTATGTGAGAGAGAGAGACTCAGGCATGGAGAGGTTGTGGAAGAAGTGTATTAAAGAACATGTTTCTTGGAGTCTTTCTACGGCCTGTCTGCATCATTTAAAAACAAATGTAATACATGTTTTCTTTGATTCTTGGTTAGCATTCTTAGTCATTTCATGCCCAGAAAGGTTGGACCTATCAGAAGGCATTTAGGAGAAGTCGTTCCCATTATTGTACATGTCATATTCCACGTGTGTGTGTGTGTGTGTGTGTGGAAACTCCCACTCAATCCCATAAACCTGAAGTGAACTGATAAGAGACTGGTGGTTATCAGGCCGAAGGAATCAGAGCAGTTGTACATGTTCAACAATTATTAACCGACTCCATCTAGGGCTGAAGATATTTAACGGCCATGGGATCTCTTAAGCCTCGCTAACTTTGATGATAATAATGCTGCTGACAAGGGACCGCAGAAAAGCAGAATATAGAAATAAAATAACAGAAACGCTTGTTTGCAGAAACAGTGAATTTTATTTTGACTTCTCTTGATAGAAGAGCAAAAAAAAATTCAATATTTAATGTTGATAAATATGTATGTGTATATATATTTTTGCTTGGTCAGAGTTTTACTTCTTATTTTAAAAAGACCTCGCTCTGGTCTATTTTTATCACACATACTGTACCTGTACCTTTGAACCTTTGTACCTTTGTAAAAATATTTTTTTCTTCTCTTCTTTGTCAAGAATGAGAGCCTAAGAATTTCTACATGTCACACATATTTACCTCTCAGGGACATATGATTAGTGTCCTTGTTGTAAACAGTTGAAAATGTTGAAAAGTACATTGTTAAGGTATGTTGTGCGCGTGACTGTGTCTGTGTGGGGTCCACACGGTTTAAGAGTATTGACATGACAGCTTTTGCACCTCTAAAGAAGTCACTTTATGCTTCACAAACTCTGAATAGCACACACACACACACACACACAGGCTCATCAGAAAACATCAGAAAACCAACACAACGTCATCTTCAAACGTCAGTCCCTCCAACACATTTAAGGATTTAAAAAAAGTTTATCTCATAATTACTTTACAATATTATAGCATATATTATTTCACTTCATGTACATTTTGTTACAATGTAATTAGAAAATAACTTGTGTTGTCTGTGTTAAGCAGGGAAAAAGACAAGTGATACCAAGCAGGTTAGGGTGATAAAGAATAGAACTGTAGAAGTTGATTAACTATAAAGTTTGAACCCTGTCTCACTCTCTCTCTTTCTCTACCATGTCTAATTTCAGACAAGACTAGAGTTGGACAAGTACCTGCCACAGATCAGCAGTTCCTTCCTATGTCCCGCAACTGATACCACTGACAAAAAATACAGACGGGAGAGTGCGTCCGTGGTTGACGAGTACTTTTCCGAGGAAAAACCTCTGACTCCTTACAGTCTTAATGTCAACCTCATTTTTAACAACACTACCCACCTCCGCACTGGCCTCTACAGACCCAACAAGACCCTCACGCCCCAGCAGATCAAGACAGAACCCGGGATGGAGGTCCCCTGCTCCATCCCCTCCACAACAACCCAGGCTCTCCCAGACTTCACCTCTGTTTTTAGCGGGTCGCCCGTGGTCAACAACGTCTTCATCAAACCAGACATGAGCAGTGGCTCAGGGGTCAGTGTGACCACAGTTACTCAACAGCAACCAAATCTGGACACAGAGCTTCAAATCGGGCCTCCACAGCCACAGGTCTACCACATGCCTATCACCACCACCACAAGTGCAGACCTTCCCCTGTCACACACCAGCCCGACAACACATAACAGCAGGACCATGATGACCCTCGGCAGCATTACTCTGCCCACAAACAATGCCAACTACATAATGGCCGAACATGTCCCGCAGCAGCAGCAGCAGCAGATCAGTTACTACCAGCCTCCGCCCAGTTCATCCCATCACTCTGCGCCACACAGCCTCCCACCCTCACCCCCAAACTCCCAGCCTGGGAGTCCAGATGGTCAGGCTGAGTTGCTCAGTTTAGCGACACAACCACCGCCTCCGTACCACCACCTGGGGGGGATAAAGGTGACGGGGTTGTCGGCTCATGCTCTGCTGATGACACACGGTCAGGGTGTGCTGACTGGTCCCAAATATAACAGACGGAACAATCCAGAGCTGGAGAAGAGGAGAATCCACTTCTGCAACTTCCCAGGTCTGTGATTCTTCTTTTGTCTGTCAGTAGGTCTGTTGTCGTCTTCTCAAGCTCAAAAGAAATTGAGCTTGGTTCAAGGAAACCCTCAGTATTTATGCCAACACCATCACATTATGACATGTTTATAAAACAAAAATGAAATTTTGTTGTTACTAAAAGTGATAAATAGTCAGATATGTGTGCAGCTAAATCGATAGATCATTTTGGACTAATGTTTTGTTTGGTGGGGTTTTGTCAGTTTCTGTGTTTATGTTCAAAAGCCTCTCGGGTTACACATGAAACACTACAGATTCTAAATACACACACACAAACTGCAGTGCTGACGACTGCTGCTTACTCTTCAGGACAGAAAAACCTAAGGTACAAACACGCAGTTAGCAGTTTGATCATTGTGTCCTGGGATTCTTTAATAACATTTCCAGACGCAAATAGCTTAAGAAAACAAGTTTGAACAGAACAGAACCGCACTGACAAGTCGGATCAAATTGTTGTCTTTCACTGTCACTGTTGTGTAAATAAAACCTGGTCTCAGTGCAAAAGCACAGATATGAATCTCTTAGTACTGCACTGCCTTCTCACACACACACACACACACACACAGCTGGACAGCTAAAGTATTTAATAACCACAAAAACACAGATCTATCTTTAGTGAATCTCACGTCTCATTTGTCGTGAATTAATGACTCAGCAGTGACTAAGTTAGATCCTGACTATTTTGTTTGTGATTTAATCAGTTAATGTGTGAGATTTCTTTTTGGTTTGACATCAAGTGTTTGGTGTGTAGAAAAAAAATGTATGTTGTTTCTGATTGTGATTAGATACACACTGTAGTCAGTTAAAAGGTATATCAGGAATACATGCCGATGTGTCCCTGGGTGAGACACTGCTCCTCCAACTGTGTCTGTCCTGTTATGGCTTTATATTAATTGATCAGTGTTTTTCAGACCTTAAAATTACGAATTTATTTTGTAACTTACAAATTTTAAAATATGTTGCTCTTATACTGTCGTGTGAACCGTTCTCCTGTGACTTAGTCCATTAAGTCAGTTTTTTGCTCAGTCACTGCTGTGTTTTTTGTCTTGATTTATTACACCATGTGACCTTGTTTGTCAGGTGAGCGTGTCTCCTCGGTCTCATGATCTGTGTGATCTCTTTACAGGCTGCACCAAAGTTTACACAAAGAGTTCTCATCTGAAGGCTCACCAGAGAACACACACAGGTGAGAGAAACCTTCCAAACGCTGCCACTCAAACCTGAGTTATGTCCCTTTGATTTAAAGCTGTTGAACCTGGAGTTGGAGGGAAGTCCTCCGACCTGGGCTGCTTCCACTGGAGCAAAATGGTCTGAAGCACTTGTTCAAATGACCTCATTTAATGTCTTTATTGTTCAGAATTTTTTTAAAGGATACATTGCAGAATAGACAGTTCTGTCCATCTCAGTGGAGGGAGGGGTCATAGGTCAACCCTCCTCCATCTTTTTCCTTCAAACATATTCTCCACATATTTAGTAGCTTAGAAACATTTTCGGAGTTTCACCCCTGCCAGCTCTGACCTCAGGGTTCGTTTGTTTTGTTATATATTGCTCATTCCAACAAATCTTCACCTCTTATCTGGTTACTTTGATGGTGAGAAACACAAAGAATAGCAAAGGCATTGGAGTGAAGTTGGTTTGTTTGAGAGGTTCCTCTTGGTTGTTTTTCTCTTCGCCACATTTGTGCATGCTCGTACCTGTTCCCCGAGCTTCCCCAGAGAGAGGTAAGACAAAAAGAGAGAGCAGGAGGGAGAAGAAAACACAGGGAACACACAGGGAAGTCGCTGCGTTGAAATAATGACCAAACCAGTTACTCCTGCTTTTCAGTCCTTTTTCAGCAGGTGGCATACTGTAGGAGGAGGAAGGTGAGGAGTTTGCAGAGCAGAGAGGGGGAAGACTGGTTTCGATGTAGCTCACCTCTGTAAGACGAAACCTGTGGATTTCCAGCAGATTTAACGCTGGATTTTTGGAGATTAACTCACAATGACAGCGAGAAAAGGCCGTACGTGGACAACTAAGAAACAGAAACAGAGCCTTCTGTGGCTCCTCAACAGATAACACCGAGAGTTATGGAACCCAGGAGGGACGTTGGGTTACAGCAATGCACAAAACAAATAGAGAGAGTGTGAGAATATTCTACAAACCTGTGCAACAAATTGTAGCAAAAGGTTGTTTTTAATCGGTAGAAAGATTTGGTCATTTCTTATGTAGCTTTATAAGCTAATAGTACTGGCACGTGTAGAGACTGTCAACGCTGTTGCATCCTAATATTTGTGTATTGTCGATTGCATAACTGCTAAAATAATTTTGAAGTAGACGGCGTAACGAAACGTACTCATCCATCATGATTTTTTAATTTAACGCCACAGCGTTAGCATACGTACGTACTCATCCATCATGATTTTTTTAAATTTAACGATCAAGATCAGACAATAGGTGCAGTGACAAAAAGCAGTACAAATTTCACATAACGATATTTCCTGCCCTTAAAGACTGAGATCTAACCATTCCACATGTATTAGTTTGGCCACACAACCTGTCCTAACCTGCGTCGACATCCAGTAATACTCTTTCTCAAGAATGTTTTCAATTTTCAGTTTTCTTCATTCTTCAAATTTTGACCTGAAAAAAATATATTGAGACATTGTTCCTTGTCTTACTGTTTCACAACCTCCTCGCTAGTTCCGACCCCAAACTTCAGCGTTACGACAAACTTCATGTTTCCACAGTTTTTAGCCGACAGCCAAGAACAGTTCCTGCTCCGTGAATCAGGGCTCCTTCTGTTTCAGCCACGTGTGAACGAGGTTTCGTCAGTGGTACATCCAGACCAGATTTCTAAATAAACAATCTTCTCTGGTGATCTGGCAGCACAAAGCCTGTCTGATCTTGTTTTTTTATTCAACTGGAAATGACTTAAGAGCTGTGTAGTGTGACAGACAATGGAAAGAACTCTATCATTTTAAAATATTTGTAGCATACGGGCTTAAAATAAGTGTCAATTCAACAAGAGGAGCCTAATATTTTGCGACCACATGATTTAACAGGCCAATGTTAAATCTTTGTTGGTTTAAATGGACGTTGGTTCTCTAATGGGCTTAATCTAATCTTCTGTTTTATTTATGTTTGTTTTTTCCTTTTCATTGAATATCTCAAGGCCCTCATCTTGACCCTCTTCCACTCATATTTCAATGTATTACAGAGTCGTAGACAAATACGATATCCACAATCTTTCTGCGGACGTCTTGTAACCTGGTGAAGTTTAAACTTTAATCTCAGTTGTTACTTTATCTCTGGCGTTAACCACACTTTTATCTTTGCACAGCTGATAAATGCAGCTCTCTGTTTGCCCCGTTGCGATGAAAAACGTCTGTTCACACCTTTAGCTTATACATAACACTGCAGTCAACCTTGAACCCCATTATATCCACTTTGCATTTGCTACAAATGTTCCGTTTTTTGCACCAGGCGGCGTCTTTTCTTCTGACTCATTTTTTTACTGACAGATTTGAGATGGATTTGTCATGTGTGACTTATGATGACAGTGACTGTGATCAACTCTGATGTGTTCGTGTGTGTCTCTACATGTACAAATGATTTATTTTATTGGTCCTAAGGGGCCTCTTTTTACTTATTTAATGGTGTTTATTAGTTTGGCGTCAACAGTCGTAAATACATTTCACAAAGTCCAGTTTCTTTTCCTTGGAAGGCTGATGGAAGTCGTTGGTGTCTTTCTGAAGGAATGGTATCAGGAAGTTATGAAAGTGTGTCATTGCGATGACGGTACCTCCCACTGGTAGCTCCGTTTCCAAAGTTTGATAAGAAGCATGGCATGTCAAGCTTTAGGAGGATTTTCTGACGTGAACTGCGGGTCCCAAAGTTTGATCGTTGATGAACAAGTATCCGCACATCAAATCACTTTCAGTGTTTTTCTCTGAATCCTGTCCTTTAGCTGAGACCACAGCAGAAACACCTTACTCCAAACACACCTTTGCACGCTGACAAGTCCACTGTCGTTTTAAGTCGTCCCTTCAAAGGTGTGAATGACCACAGCCTTGACCGTGACCCCTGGAGCCATTTGATCTCTGTACAGTGCCTTTCGTTATTATGTGAGGTCTGTGTGTGTGTGTGTGTGTGTGCACGTTTGACCGTGTAAAGGCTGCAATCGGTGCGATTAGAGTAGCCTCCAGCCCTCTTCACAAACACTTAGAGAGCTGATAAAGTGAAGAGCTCCGCGGAGAGTTTATGAGTGTCCTGAAAAGCCAGGTCAAGTGTTTACTCTTGGCCTCAGTAAACCAGGATGTAAAGTGCTGTTTATTACACGCCTGATATTCTTAACTGAACATGCAGTCAGTTTTTCAGTGATGACAAACATTAAAAGTTAACTAATTTTGTCCTGGGTTATGTCAAGGATGGGGAGGAAGGCAACCCGCAACCCCCTGATAACATGCCTGATCCTCCTGTGCAGTTTTTCTGACCCTAAATTTAAAATGAGGAATTTTATTTAGCTATATTTCCACCACCATTTCGTCTTTTTTGCAATATCTGGTCTAAGGTCCATTCCAACAGTTACATGTTTTTCTAGAACTCTCAAAGTACTATTTAGTAACTATACTAGGGTTGTGTCCCTCAGGAGTTGAACGAGGAACATCCATTTGCTGGCCAAGTGAATAGTGTTTGTTTTCAGAACGTTAAAGTTGACTATGTTGTTGAGAAAGCCCTCCACGTCCAGGCCTTTCTTCTTATCTAATCTACAGTTTAAATGGCAGTGATGTATGAACCTTTGAAGAGGGGGCGTAAACACAGGTTCCACTGTGATTTTGACCTTTAAACGCCTGTCTGTCAAAGACACCTTTGATAAATGAATGATTTTTTTACATGGGAATTTATTGGGTGACTTTTAAATGACGTTTAAACTTGGAGTACCTCATGGCTCATATATAGGGCCTTTTATATTTGTTTTGATATTATGGCTATGTTCAAACATGTCTTCACATTTCGCTGTACTTTGTTGATTAGCTATCACTTCTACAGTTATTGAAGTGCTGGTGAATTGGTTGATTGTCTGTGTGGGTGTGCATGTGACAAAATGTGCAGAAACAACCTGAATCAGACAGAAAATAAGTTTATATTTATTTGAACTGATTAGATTTATAAGACCTTATCTAAAAAAAAAGGTTCGCTTAGAAAATTGATTATATATTATGACAAATTGAAATTGAAAAAACTGAATAAGAAAAAAAAGTGTCTTTTCATGTGCAGGTCGTGTACGTCTGCGGTCCTCCTACAGAGTAAATACCATGTGTACATATGTCCCTTCATACAGTACAAAGCCCGTACTGACAGAAGCGTTTTATCCCTCGGTGATTGATACCACTGCTACTCCGTGAGTGTTTGTCTGATATGATTTATGATCCGTCCGTGTGTGTGTGAGTGAGAGAGAGAGAAAAAAAGAGAACTTGTCCGTTTCTAAATCTCCACCTGGTCAAACAGTGACTATTTGTTTTGAATAAATATCTGTGAAGGCGATTTAGTCATTAGTGAATATTGAGTGAGCGATAAAGTGATGACAACGTGGCAATAAATTCATCAATACTGTTCACCGCTTTTGGAAAATATGTAACTATTTTACAGGTAGAAAAAAATACAAAATAAAATCAGGTCATTGTTAAAAACCACATCACAGGTTCAGTGGGTTCTTTTACCAGGTGTGGTTTGTATTAAGGCTATAAAATAAGTCAATTAATCAGTGACTAATTGACCACATTAGTACTTCATTGTACTTTATTGGTCAACTCGTCATCCAAGAACTCTGAACGTTTCCCTTTTTGTGTTCAAAACAACACACTGTTTACTTGTTTCTAACACAATAAATGTGTTTGAAGTTTAGGAAGCAGTAGATACTGTAGTAAAACACATCAACTTACCACAGCAGTACTTTCATGTTGCTGGCTTCATAGTGGACATCTCCCTTCTGACTGAATCTGTAAAACAAACCAACGAAAAAAAACACATCAGCATCAGACCTTTCAGCAGCTTCAACATATCTGTGTTTACTCTGGTCATTCAGCGTTGACTAAATAGGTCTGAGAAAAGGAAAAGAAGAACCAACATGACAGCTGTAGAGCAAAACCAAACACACCTGCAGATCCAGAGCCTCACACACACACACACACACACACACACGAGCAGGTTACTCCAGAAACCAGATATTGTCCAAACAGGAGGCTGAGGTGAATCAGAGTGACCTCCTGGTGATGGATGGATTTCTGTGCTTCAGAAACATGGACGTGGAAACA